CCCCCGTTCATGCTCTGTCTCTCATTGTCCCAAAAATAAATAAAAAACGTTGAAAAAAATTAAAAACAAACAAAAAAACAAAAAAACTCATAGACTAGAGTTGTATCTAGTTCTCAGTCACTTTTTTTTCTTTAATTTTAGGACACTTTGTTTTTTAAAAATGATAAATTAGTTAAAAATGGAGAGATTTCATATAAAAACAAAACACAACTTGGATTTCTGTCTCCTTAGATAAATTCCACATTCCCTCATGGCAGCAGCCAATGGAAACAGGATTATGGCCACCTGTTACAGAACAAGCATGCATCTTCCATTTCACCACACAACTCAGGACTCCTTACAGTGGTACAATTGACTCATTTCCCTCAGTTTGTACCTGTTTGACTCTTGCAACACTGAGTTTATGACTCTGTAAGCTTATAGAGTTGAAGGCCCATATATATCCTTATTACAGGTGATGTTGGGCTGTAGTCCCACAATACATTTTTTTTTAAAACTGAATAATAGTCCAGGGACCCATGTCTAGCCAAGGTGAGGAATGCAGTCCAAAGAGATGCTGTGTTTACAGGGAAGGCTGACCTGGAATGTAATGTCAAGGAAGGGATACAGGGAAATCTCTGGGCATAAAGCTGTGAATGTCTTAGTTACCAGGGATATGCCAAAATGTAGATGTATCTCAACTTAATGTGGAATAAGCAAAATGTCAAAAACAACAGAAAAAATAAAATGTGGATTTATCTATGTTAGGCTATTTCTGTGAGTCTTCATTTATTTCTATTGGTTTATTGATGCCATTGGACCAGTGCTACTTGCTACTCCATTTGATTGTGTGTTTGTGTATGGCCTCTCCAAGATTGTTAAGTCTTGGAAGACAGAGTCTCTGCTCTAGTTCTTTTCCATTTTCCCTTTCTTTTTGTATCCCCCTACCCCATTTCCCATAAAAGAAAACACCTTGAAATCATACACCTTTTAGGACTATAGAGATTCAAATAAAAGTTTTATCTCTTTTCTAGTTGCTGCTGGTGTTTTTGTTTTGTTTTGTTTTGTTTTGTTTTGTTTGTTTTGATGGATAAAGTTGAATCCTGTGAAACTTTTTTTTCTTTTCTTCTCAGGATTTAGAATGAGGCAGCGCCATGTCCTCATGGAATCCACAGGGCCTGCAGGCCACTGCCCTCATTTGGTGGAGTCTGTTCCTTGTGAGGATCCAATGTGTTACCGATGGCTGATGTCTGAAGGCGTCTGTATCCCCGATCATGGAAAATGTGGCCGAGGCCATCGCATCCTGAAGGCTGTGTGCCAGAATGACCGAGGTATGAGGCAAAGACATATGTGTTGTTAAGTGAGAGCTGCCCTATTACTATTACACGTCACTGCTCTCAAACAGGTCGTTTTCCCAAGGGAGGGAAACAGCTTTCCTATCCTTGAATACTTATGTTGAAGCCACGTGCTAAATTGCTGCAAAGTAAGCAGTCTTGAGTTAATGTGAGGCCACATAGTCCAAAAGAAAAGTATATGATTATGCCTCAGTGCAACACAGTGAAGCTAGAGATTTCTGTGCAGTTCTTAATTTATCAAGACAAATAGAATACAGAATTCCTCTGGGTAGTTTTCAACTTATCAATACCAAACAAGTTTTATTTGCCTTTTTTGAGGTCGATATGTAACATGCTTTTATATATTATTAACAAATACTACCTTGTAAAGATTCCAGGGCTACAATTCTCTCCAAGTTAAGGGAAAAAAATACTAAGCTATATCTTTTCATTTATGGAACATTCAACTACACTCAGTTCTAGACATGATACTGACATTTCTAAAGAACTGTTTTAAAATCTAAATTGTCAAGATTTGCAAAACTGTTAACAGTGGTGTCTTTGCTTCATTGTCAGGCTTGTAGTACAATGGTTGTTTGAAATGAAGGGTGATTTAGAAAACATGTAAGTCACATGGAAATGAGGGAAGTGACATTTGTAAACCTTTATCCTACAGTTAAAAAAAATCAGTCTCTTGGAAGAATATTGGTATGTTTATTAATCCCATTTATAATGCTCTTGATGGGTGGAGGGAAACGTTTTGACTTATGGAGTGAAGTAATCCATAGAATAGAAGGAAATTACAAAGTGGACTCAGAGTGGCTATTCGCATCCACACAGGGTTGACATTCAGCAATGGTTTCCTTGTTTCCCTCCTTCTTGTCTCCCCCTGCAGCCCTCTTTCTCTCCCTCTCTTCATGCCCTTACCTCTCTCACTTTCTTCTTTCTTTCCTTCTCTAATCTTCCTTTCCTCCTGCTTTTGATCTGTTTTCTTTCTTTCTTTCTTTCTTTCTTTCTTTCTTTCTTTCTTTCTTTCTCTTTCTTTCCCACCACCATAATTAGCAGATAGACATTTTGTCAGGCAGTGTAATCAGTTATCTCATAAAAGGTATTTGTTTAATTAGAGGTCAACAACAGGCTGTATTAGCTACATCCTTTATGACTAAGTTGTTAAAACTAATAGTGGCTTCTAATATTACCAAATAATTTTTGAATTGTGGTAATATATGTACAACTCATTAACAGAGGCAAATAAGATCACTGTGGTATTGCTTTTCTTTGATTTCAGGAAGAGTAGTATAGAGGTCTAAACCTGGAGTCTAAATCAGCCAGGTTGGAATTTCAAGTCTGCTACTCCCCTGCTAGATGAACTCAGGAAAATTAATTAACTTGTGGAGGCATCCTTTCCTTCAGACTTAAAATAGGGGTAATAAAATCTACCTCTCACTGATTGTGAGGGTTAAACTGGTTATATAAAAGTGATTAGTGAAGTGTCTGGCACATAACCACTCAAAATAAGCTATAAGATTATTTTTCTTATAATACACATTTATTACTGTTCTCTGCCCTGGGGGAATTGTGCAAAGAGCATTCTTATATAATATGAAAATAATGATGAGTATTAGAATAACCATATCACTTCTTCCTCCCAATCTCCAGCTGTGCAATCAAAAAGATGCTTTGTGTGGTTGAGTCCCAAAGACAAATTACTGTCAGGCTTTGTCATCTCACGGCAGGTATTAGAGGCTTGTCATGATGTATTATGTCTATAGGGCTGGGGAGTTTTTCACAATTTCACAATCTGTGTCTTCTGTAGTATTGCAGATTGTGATATTGTGATTTATAATTAGAAATACATATTCTTCCCATTTCCAGTGCAGAGCTGCTAAAACTCTTGGAACTTCCTGAGCAAAAAGAGCAATGGGAGCATCTTTTGTTACATTTGCTCTTTTGTCCTCAATTCCTGAAGTTGCTTCTGTAAAGGTGAAATGGGCGTGTTATTACTCAAAAACAAAAACAAAAAAAAGAGAAAGAAATGAGTGTGTTGTTATTCATAACAAGCCCCATTCTCCCACATGTGGGTTTATGGTAATGAGGTGATTTGTGGAAAGCACCTAAGGATGAGAGCTGGTTGCCAGAGGAGCCAACCAAATAGAGGGTTGGAACTTTCATTCTCACCCCCTGATTGCCAGGGAGGGGAGAGAGGGGAGGTTGAATCAAACACCAATGGCCAATGATTTAATGACTTGTGCATATGTAAAGAAACCTCCATAGAAAATAAAAAAAAACAATAATAATAAAAAGAATTGGGGGTCTGGAGAGCTTCCAGGTTGGTGAACACTGTGGAGATTTGTGGAAAGTGGCAATGGAAATTCCACGCCCTTTCCCCATATCTCACCCTATTCATCTCTTGCACCTGGCTGTTCCTGAATTACATCTTTCACAGTCAACCAGTCATGTAGTAAGGGTCATGTAGTAAGTAAAACAGGTTTCCTGAGTTCTGTGAGCCACTCTGGCAAATTAATCAAAGCCAAAGAGGGGGTTGTGGGAAACCCAAATTTGTAGCTGGTTGGTTAGAAGCATAGCTCACCTGGGCTTACAGTTGACCTCTGAAGAGGAGGGTGGTCTTGTAGGACCAAGACTTTTCCCTGTGGAATCTGATGCTATTTCTGGGTGACGTCAGAACTGAGTTGAGTATTAGGACGTCCAGTTGGTGTTGGAGAATTCCGTGGTGTGGTGTGGGGAAATTGTCCCACCTCCCCCAACACACACATACTATCCCACTGAAAATGGATGCAGAATCCTTTCTACAGAGATATCCATTTTACCATTGTATAGCATTTCTAGAGTTTTATTGCTTATCCCTATGAAATGGCTAATTTTCAACATTGACCTAACTCTTGATTTCTATGGGGAAAAGTAGAAATTACTACTGGTTCATATCAATTCCATGAAGTCTTTATGGTGTTTACATACTTGGATGGCTCCTTAATCATTTGTGGGGTATCAGCCATGGTCATGGTTACAAGAACATGCTAGCCTGGTAGCTGAAGTAGTCTTTTGTCCAGTGAGAAATTGAAAATGTGGTCTGGTTGCACATTTTGCAATTCAGCTTCTTTGAGATTCTGGCTAATTTATGATAGAAGTTGAACAGAAAAGTGCTTCTCTTTAACTCTCTGCATATTATCATGGTCTTTCCGTATCTGCAGGAACTGCCAGAACTGTTGACACTCATTTAAATGCTTGGAGAAGGGAAAAAAATGGTTGAGATATATTTAATAAGTCAGCTGTGATTTTTTTCTAGTAACATTTGGTAGTTTTCTTTTCATCTTTCTGAATTTATTATTGTTTTATATGCCCTTTATTTCACAATTTATTTAGAGTTAACTGGATAAGACCAAAATAAGTATCTTCATTTTGGTAAACAAACAAAGAAATAAACAAAACAAAACAAATGCATATTAGATCTAATCAGACTTAAGTCCTGCTATAATTTGCAAGGGTAACTTTTTTATATATATATATATATATATATGGCATGTGCACATATGTATATGATAAATACATACACACACACTTTGTGTGTGTGTGTGTGTGTGTGTGTATAACATTAAAACCCCATGCAAAATATCTATATCCCATTCAGATTGTGGAACCAAGAGATTTCCACATAGCCATGATCAGGATTCTGTAGGCCTCTTCAAAGTGTCTTCTTGGGCATTTGTGCCACTAGAAAGAATATTTGTCTTTCCCAGAAGTGTGTTTAAATAATTAGTTTAGGGGCACCTGAGTGGCTTAGTCAGTTGAATGTCCCAACTCTTGATTTTCATTTAGGTCATGATCCCAGGGTCATGGGATTGAGCCCTGTGTTGGGCTCCTCACTGAGTGTGGAGCCTATTTAAGATTCTCTCTCCCTCTGCCCCTCTCCACCTCTCATGCTCTCTGTCTCTTTCTCAAATTACAAAAAAAAAAAAAAATTAGTTTGGAGCCTTTGAAAATCTACAATCTCTGTCACATTGAAGCCAGTAAGTAGCAATTTGAGATAACCAAAATTTGTGGGCTAGTTTAAGAATGTAATCGACTTTAGACTATCAAAGATCCAAGTAGTCATTTATGAATTTGTACAGTCTGTGTAGAGGTATGTTTTGACTCATGCTCTACTTTGATTTATTAGTGATACTGTCCCGTCTTACTGAAGTTACTATTTCTCATCCAGCCTGTGATTGTAGCAAACAATGGGTTAGTAATACTTATTTTTAGGAATTAAATTGTATAAAAGATTGCACGAATGAGTATTCTGATTTGTATCTGATTTCTAATACTTTGAGTGGTCGATGAACTTTGATTTCTTTCCTCTGCACAACATCTTATCACTAATCTGGGTCAATAGAAGTCTACTGAGTATAGAATATACATAGGTTTTTCTTGTCTCATTGACAAGCATGTTTCCTGCAAGTCAAAGTAGACATTTGAAAATAAATGGACTGTGATGCAAACTGGATGCCCAACCTACTTCTCCTTTAGATTATCAGGTTAATATTCTGGGTTTTAAACTTTGTTTCTCAAATGCGTAACTAGTTCATTGTTGCCAGGTTTCACTGGCAGTTGATGAAGGTGTACCACTATATGCCATCTTCCCAGAGTAGGTTGGGAAAATCCCCATAATGCTAGGGCAGTGGACAACATTCCTAGTGACTGACATATGATCACTATTTATCATCTTTCATGTCTCTGTAATGCAAAGTGGACAGATGACATCACAGGGTCAATGGATAAACACCAGACTGTCTATTAGGCAGTCAGACCTTGAGCACTCACCAAGTGCTTTGCTCCATAATTTGCAGAGTAGGTTATCTTGAGAAAAAAAAGAGTGTCTGTATATTTCGGCAAACATCTTTATTTGGAGGTAATGCGGTGTACATTCTGTACTTGGAAAAAACAAATACCTGTGTTGGTATAACACAGAGTATTAATACATTAAGAAGAACAAAGCTCGC